TACATGTATTCTGTATAACAATGAGGGTCTCCTTCCATCTTCTGTGCAATTCCCCTTCTACCTTCCTTTCTCTCCTACCTCTCTTCCCTATTTAGTGGTAATCTTCTTCTCATGCTCTTCCTCCCTATCCCATTTTGATTCACCCCCCACCCTTATAACAGACAAGAATTTCAGCATTTTTTTAGGGATTGGCTAACTTCACTAAGAATAAACTGCTCTAATACTATCCATTTCCCTGCAAATGCTATGATCTTGTTATTTTTTAGTGCTGAGTAATGTTCCATTGTGTATGAATGCCACATTATTTTTATCCATTCATCTATTGAAGGGCATGTAGTTTGGTTCCTCAGTCGAGATATTGTGAATTGAGCTGCTATAAACTTTGATGTGGCTGTGTCCCTGTAGTATGCTCTTTTTCGGTCTTTTGGGTATAGTCCAAGAAGGGCAATAGCTAGGTCAAATGGTGGTTCCATTCCTAGCTTTTCAAGTAATCTCCATACTGCTTTCCAAATTGGCTGCAACAATTTGAAGAACTTAAATTAGCACTATTTGCTGATGACATGATCTTATACCTAGCAGACCCAAAAGGTTTTACCAAGAAACTTTTAGAACTAGTAAATGAATTCAGAAAAGTGGCAGGAAATAAAATCAACACCCATAAATCAAAGGCATTCCTATATACCAGTGAAAAATCCTCTGAAATGGAAATGAGGAAAACTATCCCATTCACAATATCCTCAAAAAAATTAAAATACTTGGGAATCAACCTAACAAAAGAGGTGAAAGATCTATACAATGAAAACTACAGAACCCTAATGAGAGAAATAGAAGAAGACTTTAGAAGATGGAAAGAAATACCTTGCTCATGGATAGACAGAATTAATAGTATTAAAATGGCCATACTACCAAAAGCACTTTACAGATTCAATGCGATTCTGATCAAAATCCCAATGGCATTCCTTGCAGAAATAGAAAAAGCAATCATGAAATTCATCTGTAAAAATAAGAGACCCAGAATAGGTAAAGCAATTCTAAGCAGGAAGAGTGAAACAGGTGGTATTGCTCTACCAGATTTTAAGCTATCCTATAGAGCAATAGAAACAAGAACAGCATAGTACTGGCACCTAATCAGGCTGGTAGACCAGTGGTACAGAATAGAGGACACAGAGATAACCCACAAAATTACAACTACTTATATTAGAGAAAGGTGCTAAAAGCATGCAATGGAGAAAGGAAAGCATCTTCAACAAATTGTGCT